GGGCGAGAGGCGGGGGCCGGACGCGGGAGCCCGGACCGCCGGGTCTGAGGGAGGAGGCCTGGGGGCGCGGACTTCCGGCTCTGAGGGAGGAGCTGGGGGGCTGAGCCACGGCTCTGAGGGAGGAGGAGCTGGGACACTGAACTCCAGTTCCGTTTTTATCGGCAGAAATGAGGCTCTCCAGTCATAGCCAGGTAATAGGAGTCCTTATTGCAGGTAACTGCGGGAGGACTCACGGTTCTCAGAGACCCTGCAGCCCTGAGTGTAGGGAGAAGGGACCTTATGAAGACAAAACTCACATTCTTTTCCGCGTTGATATGGTGAGAGCAGTGGAAATAGAGGAGGGGTGATAGAGAGAGGGGTATTATTACCAAAGCGGGTTTACGGAAGCCAGAGTGAGCAGGTTAATTATTTCTGTGGACTCAGTGTGGGCACTTTCCAGTCTTTGCCTAAACACAGTGGAATTTTAATGGGCTCCGTTGCTCAGGGCAAAGGGTCTGTGACTACCTATCCATAGGACATCTTAGGATGGGAGGTTTCAGTGGGATCTTTATTACTCTAGGCAGAAGAAGGAAGCAGGTTTCTAGTATAGAGATGAGAGAAGCATATAATACAAAATGGAGGTGCTCATGCTTCACTCCTGGGTCTGAGGGAGGAGGAGGAGGCCAGGGGCCCTGATCCCTGTACCGAGGAAGAACTGGATTTAGGGCTCACCCTGGTTTTGAAGCAGGTGAGACTTCATCTTGGAGGAGCGCCTCCATTATAACCTGTTAAATTCCTATGACTAGAAACTTGCCTTCTCGGGACCAGCAGTTGGCATAATGGCTATGTTGCTGGACTCCCCTGTCAACAGGGTTCGAGTCCTGGACCTGGTGGCATTAACTCACACCGGCCACACGTGCCGCCATGTGCATTCATGCCCAAGATCCTGAGAGGAGAATGGAAGAGAAGGGATTGTGACGTGGCCATCTCCCCTGGGGGGTGATTTCTTGCTTTCTCTCTCTGTCTGTCTCTGTAGTGCATGAGCCCTATAGCAAAACCCTCTCAAAAATAAAAATAAAAATAAAGTAAAAGACACTTGCCTTCTCCTTTTTGTGGAAGAGCACAGTGGTGAACACTGTTGTCTTTAGACCCCCCTCTTCCTAGTTGCCTTAAGATACAATCTCCAGTCACCCGGAGCCACAGAGACCATTGAGATGTCATTGTGTTTAGGCAGGGACAGAACATACTCTTAGGAATGATTAACCTGCTTACCTGTTTGTTCTGCTTCTGTAATGCACTTTTGCTTTTGTAAAATCTACCCTCTGCCCTTCCAAGCCCACCACACCTTGTCCTTGTGATCAACAATCCTTGTGATCATGGGGGGTGGGGGACAACTTGTGATCTTTGCCTTTATAAGCACCTTTCTCCTTCCACTTGGGGCAGGGGTTTTAAGAGACAAGAGCCTCCCCCCCCACCCCATGAGGCCGGCTTAATCAATAAACTCCAATAAATTTGGCAGTGTCTGGATGTCCTTTTATTTCTCACTGATTAGACTATAACAGTTTAGATAGTCTAAGGCCGGGGTGCTGGGTTCTTGGTAGGGTTGGAGATCTCTGGAGTGTCATTCAAATGGCATAACTATGCAATTGTTTTTGTTTTAGGTTTTGCCATGAAGCACCTGTGCTCACCAGACACAGAGAGGGAAAGTGAGAAATTACCCCCGCCCCAGATGGCCACTCCAAAATCCCTTCTCCATTATCTCCTCAGGATTTTGGGCACATACTCTCATGCTCTTGGAATGACATTTTTTTTTGGGTGGGGGTGATGGGTGATGTGTTGTCTTTAGGGCACATGCGTTGGCGAAGAAACAGAGTGATGGAGTGAGAGAAAATGAGAAATCACCCTACAGCAGGGATGGCACACCTCAGTCCTTTTGAGGTAGGAGACAAGGACCCTAAAAATATAGTTAGGGCATAGACACAAAATGGAATCACAAAAATGGCTAAGTTTTGAGATGGAGGCAGTGATAGCTCAGTGACTGAACTAGGTAGCATGACTTAGACCTAAAAACAAAGGTATTTTTTTGGAGAGGTTTTTGATAAGGGCACGTGCACTTGCCAAAAAGACAGAGAGAGACAGAAAGTGAGAAATCATCCCCCAGGGGGGATGGTCACGCCGCAATCCCTTCTCCTCCATTCTCCTCTCGGGATCTTGGGCACACATGCATACACGCCCAGTGGGAGTTTAAGCCGCCAGGTCTGGAACTGGATTACAAGGGAGTCCAGCAACATAGCCATTACGCTAACTGCTGGTCCCAAAACAAAGCCTTTTTTCCAGGTCCCACCACATTCCAGGAAGAAGAAAGTGGTTTTCATGCCCCAAAGCTTCTATCTAGACAAAGAATCTCCTGATTTGGTACCCAAAGCTTCTATCTAGACAAAGAATCTCCTGATTTGGTACCCACTCAAATTAGGAAAATAATTGGACCCATCCAGCATGCGCCTTTCCCACCAGAAGGAAAATGCATGCACAAGCCCCACCTAGAACAAGTCAGGACAAGGCCCTTCCTGACCCAAATAAAAACTCCTGGTTACAGTTCTTCCTGGGCAACCCATTTTCCGGGACACCTCCCCTCTTGGGAGCTCTGTTTTTCCTTCCCCCTCCTTTAATAAATTCCCTGTTTTGCTATACCTACCCTGTGTCTGTGACACTAATTTCTTCCTGAGTGTGGGACAAGAACCTGTGTCTCACTGCCAGTGTGAATCCAATGACGCCTGTGCCTCCATGTTCCTGCGTCACCTTCTCCATTCTCCTTTCAAGATTCTGGGCACCCATGCACTGTGATAGACTGTACTGCAGGAAAATGGTGTATGTTAGGCTAAGATACACCTCACAGGCCTCACCTAGGCCCCAGAACAATATTAAAATGAAGGATGTGGTTATAACCCAAACGTTCTGCTTCTGTAAACTGCTTGCAAAGAGAATGTAACAACCCTTGCAGACCTTCCTTGCAAATCCCTTACCCCTACCCTTACAGACCTTCCTCCCAAAAAGTAACATTCCCTTGCAGTTTTTATGGTTAAATATTTCGCAAAACTGCCCATGGGGGCTGTCATCCTCATGCTACCTGTGTGTGGCAGGAGGGTGGCAGTCTCTGGCCAAGAATAAAGGCGCCTAAAATTCTAATTTTTCTGGTGGTCTTGATTTTTACTGTATCTTGCACCACAATATTTGGAGGCCATGTGCCTGTGTGTTACAAGCTGCGGGATCTGGGACTCAAAACTGCAGGTGTCCATGTGAGAGTCCAGTACCTTAATCATCACTCCACCTGCTGGCTCTGCACTGGCATGATTTTCAGGCCGCTGGGTCTGGGGTTTGAACAGCAGTCCACCATGTGGGAGTCCAGTGTCATAACCACCATGCCACCTGCTGAAAATTGTGTTCAAAATAAAAAATAAAACTGCTCCAAACCTGGGAGTTTGTGGCTGTCAACAATTTGGTGTGGCTTTTTATTTCATGTCTCATTCCCCCCCACACATCATGATTAAATGTGATTTCACTTCAGTTTGTCCCTGAGTGGTATCCACACATGGGGTACACACGGAATTATTCATTAGTGACAAAACTGTTCCATTGTGTAAATAGGACATACTTTGTTTAGCTGGCCCCCTGGTCATTTGGGTTGTTTTCTTCTAGCTAGGAGACTCCTTCCATGAATCTTGATATCTGAAGTAAAAGGAAGTGATCTAAATTCCTCTCTTGAGGAGATAAGACATTTCTGTCACTGACTCTGCACTCCAGAGTAACAAAGTCCTCACTGTGGCCGACCAGGCACCCACTGATCTGGTCTCAGTTCTCACTCTAGTCTTGTCTCCTGCTTCTCTCCCCCTTGGCCTTCCTGGTGTTTCTGGAACCAAAGTACATTTCTGCTTCAAGACTTCTGTCCTTATTGTCCTCTCTGCCCAGAACTCTTCTCCAATCCACATGGCTCTTACCTTTCTTGGTCCTGGGTCTTCTCAGATACCATCCTAGCGGAGTTCTCCTACCTCCACTCTTAGAGTCAGCTGCCCTTCTTCCCAGCCTCATCTTATCTCCTTTATTTTTCTTCATAGTGCTTACTCCTAGCATATTACCTATTTGTTTATGGATGTATTTTTGCCTCCGTGCTGAAATGTCACTTTGGTGAAGATAAGGACATGCCTATAAATCTGGTGCCTGGCACATAGTTGCTTCTCCATCTGTGTTGTTGTTGTTGTTGTTTTTTTGGAGAGGTTTTTGCTGTAGGGTGCGTGCACTCACCAGAAAGAGACACAGAGACAGAAAGTGAGAAATCCCCCTCCAGAAGGGATGGCCACACTGCAATCCCTTCTCCTCCATTCTCCTCTTGGGATCTTGGGCATGCACGCACACGCACCTGGCGTGAGTTTAAGCCACTGTGTCCGGAACTCAAATCGCGGTCGACTACATGGGAGTCCAGCCACATAGCCATCATGCCAACTGCTGGTCCCTAAAACATGATCTTAAAATACGATCTTTATCCCCATTTTAGAGATGTGAAAACTGAGACCCCAGTAGATTTAACACCTCACTACAGGTTGTAGAGCTAACAAGTGGCAGAGCCTGAACTCAAAACTTGGCAGCCTGACTACTGTGTGAAAGGGAGATAGATGGGATCCAAGACAATGCAAGGTAACCTGGGCAATGATAGAACATTGTGCTTGGATTTCAGTCTTGCTGTGATAGGCAGGTAGCTTAGTAATGAGCAGGCTGCCCTAAGGAAATAGCAGCAGGACACCTGTCACGTTAATCACAACTTATCAAGAGTTACAACCAGGGAACCAGCAGTTAGCGTAATGGCTATGTTGCTGGACTCCCACGTAGTCGACCGCTGTTCGCGTCCTGGACCCAGTGGCTTAAAACTCACGCCGGGCGCGTGTGCGTGCGTGCCCAAGATCCTGAGAGGAGAATGGAGAAGGGATTGCGGCGTGACCATCCCCCCTGGGGGGTGATTTCTCTCTGTCTGGTGAGCCCACACACCCTATAGTGAAAAAGCTCTCCAAAAAAAAAAAAAGAGTTACAACCAAACCCACCATGAAAATGCCTTCTTCCCACCCAGCTCCTGGCGCTGGAAAGGTGAAGTAAATACCATTTTTCTTCCTTGGTACCTGAGGAAGACATGTAGGGTGATTGTAAACTTCCCTCTTATCATTCCTCTTGAATACAGAAAGACCCAACCAGACGTTTTGGTCAACATCCTGATTCCCACTGGGGCAGTAAATTAATTGGGCAGTTCATCCTAATTAGGAAGCTCCTATTATCATGGCTCACACTGGGCAGCAGTTAGGTAATCAAATCCCTCAAATTCTTCACCTGTGAGAGCTGCCGTACGGTACGTGCAGGAGAAAGCCCAGGACTTCTAACACAGATAGTATGACAGACCTCCCACTGTTAAATATTTATCACCACCTCTGGTAATAAAAATAGCACCTCACCAGTTCCAAAGCAGTTTCTGCCTAGCAACTTACCTGCCCAAAAGTCTTTTGGGTGTATTTTTCTAAAATCTTGCTTTTCTATTCTCTTTTCTACCTACTTTTATTGTAGTTGTAACTTTATTTTGCCTAGGGACAGGGCTCTAATTGTAGTGATCTGGACCCAAAGGACCAAGGATTTTACACAATGCATAGCTCAGCGCTCTCCCATCTTATGACATTGCCTCCCCATTTTCTCCCCCCCTTTTTAAACTATCTATTTTTATTTAGATTTTGCCATGGGGTATGTGTGCTCACTGGATACAGAGAGTGGGAAATGGTGAGAGGGGGAGTGAGAAATCATTCCCCTTGGGGAATGCCATGCCACAATCCATTTTCTCTGCTCTCCGTGGGGGAATGCCATGCCACAATCCATTTTCTCTGTTATCTTCTTGAGATTTTGAGTGTATATGTGTCTGGCATGTTTCAAGCCTCTAGGTCTGGGACTCCAACCGTGGTCAGCCATGTGGGAGTCCAATACCTTAACCACTGTGCCACCTGCCGGCCCCTCAACCTTGCCCTTTTCAACAAATGACTGTTAGTCCCAAATCGTTGTCAAAGGCATTGCACAGGACAGCCTTAGGGGGCTTTCTGGAGGAGTAGGGGTGGCTGGTGGTAAGAGCTGTTATTAAGGGTAAGAGGTCAAGTATGGGTACTGGGACATTTATCTCAGGAGGGATAAATTTTTTAAAAATAATTTTATTTATTCATTCATTTATTTTAATTTGACCAGAGAGAGACACAGAGAGAAAGGGAAAGTGAGAAAGCAAGCCACCAGGTCCAGGACTCGAGCCAAAGTCCAGGAACTAGCAGATGGCATAATGGTTACATCACTGGACTCCCACATAATCAACTCTGGTTTGAGTCCCGGACTTGGTGGCTTAAAACTCATGCCAGGCATCAGTGTGCGCATGGCCAAAATCCTGAGAGGAGAACGGAGGAGAAGGGATTGTGGCATGGCCATCCCCCCACCAGAGGAGGATTTCTTGCTGTCTGTCTCTCTTTCTAGTAAGTGTATGTGTCCTATCACAAAAATCTATTAAGAAAAAAAGGATAAAGTCCAAAGGGCTTGAGAATGACCTGTTCAACAAATGATTGAACATCATCTGTTTGCCAGAGACCATTGGCCTAGACTGCTGAACTTATGCATTGAGGTTTTTACAAAAATCTGAGTTCTTTCCCTTATGTATCCCTCTACCCCTAGAGAGTCCAGGGCTGGCCCCAGAGAGGGATGGGAGTTCCACAGAACACTTTCAAGATACTGAACTAATAAAAGAAAATACTCTGGGCAGAAAGTACAGTTTATTTTAAAATATCAGTTATTAATCTGGGTTGAGGTGGTCAAAGGAGACTCTTGGGGCGAGTAGGATCACGAGGTGCTTGATGGAGAGCCATGGAAGCAGGCCGGCGGACACATTCCTTTGTCCTAAATCCAAATGACCTGGTAAGCCAGATCGACCAGAAATTCATGTAGTTCAGGTAGGACAAGAGACCTGGGGAGAGGAAGAAGGCAGAGGGGGTAAGAGAGAATTCACTAGCCCAACCCAGATTCCAGTCCTGTTCCCAAACCCAACTGCATGCCCTACCCTGTCTAAAACCATCCCCAAACCCGTCATCCCAAACCTCTTCCTAAACCCACCCCTAATTCTATCGCACCCTCCGCTCTCCAAATCCATCCCTGCACTGCGTCAACTCCATGATCTACTCTGTTCTCAACCTATTTCCAAACTCAAACTGAATCCCATCCCCCCATCTTGCCCCATGTACATCCACAACCCCTTCTCTCACTTCAGTGCCGTTCTACCTAGCCATGTCTGCAGCCCTGTCCCCATCCCAGACTCTATCCCACATGGTGCCTGGCTGCAGCCCTGAACCCAAACTCAGCCCCATCCCAGCCCAGACCAGTCATCAGGAAGAGGAAGACACCAGTCCATGCCAGGTAGAAGCTTCTCCCCAGCTGGTAGGTCATGCCTTCCTGCAGGTATTCATGGGCCTGTAGCAGGTAGAACAGGATACTCAGTACGATGCTGGTCCCTGTATGAGCACAGGTGTTAGGAGGCCAGGAATCAGGTGTGTGAGAGTCTGCTGATAGTCTTATGGTTGACTGTTTAGGGGGCTTTCTGGAGGAGTAGGGGTGGCTGGTGGTAAGAGCTGTTATTAAGGGTAAGAGGTCAAGTATGGGTACTGGGACATTTATCTCAGGAGGGATAAATTTTTTAAAAATAATTTTATTTATTCATTCATTTATTTTAATTTGACCAGAGAGAGACACAGAGAGAAAGGGAAAGTGAGAAAGCAAGCCACCAGGTCCAGGACTCGAGCCAAAGTCCAGGAACTAGCAGATGGCATAATGGTTACATCACTGGACTCCCACATAATCAACTCTGGTTTGAGTCCCGGACTTGGTGGCTTAAAACTCATGCCAGGCATCAGTGTGCGCATGGCCAAAATCCTGAGAGGAGAACGGAGGAGAAGGGATTGTGGCATGGCCATCCCCCCACCAGAGGAGGATTTCTTGCTGTCTGTCTCTCTTTCTAGTAAGTGTATGTGTCCTATCACAAAAATCTATTAAGAAAAAAAGGATAAAGTCCAAAGGGCTTGAGAATGACCTGTTCAACAAATGATTGAACATCATCTGTTTGCCAGAGACCATTGGCCTAGACTGCTGAACTTATGCATTGAGGTTTTTACAAAAATCTGAGTTCTTTCCCTTATGTATCCCTCTACCCCTAGAGAGTCCAGGGCTGGCCCCAGAGAGGGATGGGAGTTCCACAGAACACTTTCAAGATACTGAACTAATAAAAGAAAATACTCTGGGCAGAAAGTACAGTTTATTTTAAAATATCAGTTATTAATCTGGGTTGAGGTGGTCAAAGGAGACTCTTGGGGCGAGTAGGATCACGAGGTGCTTGATGGAGAGCCATGGAAGCAGGCCGGCGGACACATTCCTTTGTCCTAAATCCAAATGACCTGGTAAGCCAGATCGACCAGAAATTCATGTAGTTCAGGTAGGACAAGAGACCTGGGGAGAGGAAGAAGGCAGAGGGGGTAAGAGAGAATTCACTAGCCCAACCCAGATTCCAGTCCTGTTCCCAAACCCAACTGCATGCCCTACCCTGTCTAAAACCATCCCCAAACCCGTCATCCCAAACCTCTTCCTAAACCCACCCCTAATTCTATCGCACCCTCCGCTCTCCAAATCCATCCCTGCACTGCGTCAACTCCATGATCTACTCTGTTCTCAACCTATTTCCAAACTCAAACTGAATCCCATCCCCCCATCTTGCCCCATGTACATCCACAACCCCTTCTCTCACTTCAGTGCCGTTCTACCTAGCCATGTCTGCAGCCCTGTCCCCATCCCAGACTCTATCCCACATGGTGCCTGGCTGCAGCCCTGAACCCAAACTCGGCCCCATCCCAGCCCAGACCAGTCATCAGGAAGAGGAAGACACCAGTCCATGCCAGGTAGAAGCTTCTCCCCAGCTGGTAGGTCATGCCTTCCTGCAGGTATTCATGGGCCTGTAGCAGGTAGAACAGGATACTCAGTACGATGCTGGTCCCTGTATGAGCACAGGTGTTAGGAGGCCAGGAATCAGGTGTGTGAGAGTCTGCTGATAGTCTTATGGTTGACTGTTGCTCATTATTTCTCCCCTTTATCTTCCCCAGACCCTCTGCCTCTGCCCACAAGCAGGAAAACAGGTTTCTGACAATGCCATGCTAGAGGACATTGGAAGTGCACAACTTAGTCCTAAACTAGGCAGTGATAGTGTCTAAACTCAGACTTCCGGCCATCTGACCAGGGCTCGTGTCCTGCTTCTGCCTCTCACCTTAGGGCAGACACTCCATCTCTCCAAGCCTCAGTTTCCTCATTTGTAGTGGAGCATAATCAGAAGACCCGTTTCCCTGGGCTACTGTGAAGCATCATGGAGATTGGCCCATTTACTGGCACACAGAAAATCCCTTGGGATAGGATTATTATCATTATATTGGATCGTAACTTTGGGCTTCTGAAGCAATGGACAAACAACTTGATCATTCTGGTATTTTGAAATGTCATGAATTAAAGATAACTTGTGAAAAAAGAAAGACTTATTTCTTTAACAGCAGAGTATTGAGTGGGCTGACCTGAGGCACAGTGGTAATATGCTGCTCAAGTGAAGCTGGGTCTCATGTGATGACCATGGTTCAAATCCCCAGTCCAGTCAGCCCGAAACATGCTGTGCATGTGTGTGGAGTTTCCATAGGGCTGGAGGAAGGGGTCTTTGTATGACCAGACCCTGTGGAAGGTGTTTCTCTCTCTGTCACTCCTCCTCCCTCTCCCTCTTTCTCATGCTCACATGTATGTGCTCTATCATGAATAAAGAAAAGAGAGTAATGGGTAATTTTTTCTCATGTTATTACACATACATATAGGAGGTGTTTCCTGTTTATTTAAGGAGGGGACAGCCCGTTGCATGGTGGTTAAGGTGGCTGGATCCCATTTGGCTGACTGTGCAGTTTGAGTCCTGGACTCAGTAGCTTGAGAAACATGGTGTGTGTGCATGCATGCCCAAAATCCTGAAAGGAAGGAGAAATAGAAGAGATTGCAGTGTGACCATCCTCCATGGAGGTGCTTTTTCACTTTCTCTCCAGCCAGCACATGTGCCCCCTGGCATATTAAAAAATAAAGAAAATAAAGGGGGGCTGGACAGAAATTCTTTTCTTACAGGAAAATGTCCTGTCTAGATAGTTTAGAACTGTGGAGTTTTCTCAGTTTGGACCTTTATGTTTAGACATCTGGAAGATCTAATAGACAAACTAAATATCAGTTACCGACAAGGAAACTGGAAGCTGAGTGTTCTCTACTTTTGGCCTTACTTCCTGTCACTCTTCAGGAATGCTTTCTGATGCAACTGAAAGTTGTGATCAAGGACTACAAGGGACAGGAGGACAATATCCTTCATTTCCAAATTAAAATATCCTCCCTTTTATTTATTTATTTTTTAGGTTTTTGTTATAGGGTGTGTATGTTTGCTGGAGAGAGAGAAAGAGAAATGAGAAATCACTCTCCCTGGGAACCAGCAGTTAGCATAATGGCTATGTCGCTGGACTCCCACGTAGTCAACCGCGGTTCGCGTCCCGGACCCGGTGGCTTAAAACTCACGCCGGCACGTGTGCGTGCATGCCCAAGATCTCGAGAGGAGAATGGAGGAGAAGGGATTGCGATGTGACCATCCCCTCTGGGGGGTGATTTCTCACTTTCTGTCTCTCTGTCTCTGTCTTTCTGGTGAGTGCACATGCCCTATAGTGAAAACCTCTCCAAAAAAAGAAAGAAAGAAATCACTCTCCAAAGCATGTGGCCATGTCTCAATCCCTTCTCCATTTTCCTCTCAAGATTTTGGGCATGCACTCATTTATGCCCAGTGTGATTTTCAAGCTGCCAGTTCAGGACTCAAATTGTTGTCGGCTATGTGGGAGTCCTAGCTAGCTGGCCCCAAAATATCCTCCCTTTTGAAAGTATGGTTTGGGGCAAGCAGGTGGCATGGTGTTAAGACACTGAATTCCCACATGGCCAATTGTGATTCGAGTCTTTGAGTCCTGGACCTGATGGCTTGAAAATCAATCAATCAATCAGTATTTTTAAAAAGTATATGATTTGGAATGCAAATGGGGACCAAACTATTCACATCAGAATATCAGTTATCAATTTTGAGTTATTTGGGTGGTGTGGGAGGATTATCATGGTAAGGACTTGTGCAAACTTAAATAGCTATTGTCAAGTACCAATATTTTCTACCTCAACCCTTACTTGGTAGGAAGTGTTAGTCCCATCCTATTGATGAAAAAATTGACTTGGAGAGATGAAGTACTTGAAGAGTATCACAGAACTGGTAGTGGTGGACAGGGTTTGGGATGGGGGTGAAACTGGAGATGGGGTTGAGTGTTGGGAAGAGGTTGAGACTGAGTGATAAGGATGGAAATGGAGGTTGAGGCTGCTATTGGGGAGGATCTGTGGTTGGGATGGGAATGGACTGCATATGGGTAAGAGGATGGATTTGAGAGTGAAGTTCACAGGTGATAGGTTGGGTTGAATCGGAAACAAATGTTGAGGATTGGGCATGGGGTGGGTGTTGAGATCTTTAAAGAGGTTGGGGAAGGTAAGTTTGGAAGTTGTAAAGTAGATAGATTTGGGATGGTGCAGTGATGGGGATGGACATTGGGGAGGAGATGGAGACAAATTTGAGATGTGTTGATGGAGACAGAAGTTAAGTTTGAGGCTGCTTTTGGGGCTGGAGTTGTGGTTGGGTTAGAAGTTGGCATTTTTTATTGGGATGGGTTGGAGCATTGGGAGGAGATATAATTGGGGTTGTGGATGAAAACAAGGATGGGGATAGGACTAGAGTGAGGTGGGGATGGGACTGGGTTTCATGATTGGCCCTGGGTGTGGTACTCCTCATCTTGGTTCCTGAAGGAGGGATCTTAGTGCCATGCCTGCTAGGATGCTGGTGATGAAGAAGAAGAAGTCCAGCATGGGCAGGTAAAAGTTGGTTAAGAAGATGGTGCCTATTAGGCCAAAACAGAGGCAGAGGCTGGCGATGCTGGAGAAGAGGAGGAAGGCCCAGGAAAGGTCCAGCAAGTCTGGAGAAGGAAGAGAATCAAGAACATCAAAACTGGCTCTCAGGCTTTGAGCATGGGGGAGAGGGTAATCATTTAGTCTGGGAATATTCCCAAGCCCCCTCCCTTGCAAATTATTTACTCTCATTTTAAGAACACTAAAATTGGGCTCTAGAGAAGGGATATTGAGGCTGATACCTTTACCATTGAGGAGATACCTCTGGGTTGATGAGGACAGATTCTTGGTACTGCGGTGGGTAGTGAGGATTATTTCAGGAGAGTGAGGACCATCCTAGAGTTCTGAGGACTACCCTGAGCAGTGAGGACCATCCTAGAGCTATGGGGAACACCTCAGGGCCATGAGGATCATCCCAAGGCAGCGAGGACCATTCTTAGAGCCTATGGAGATTATTCCAGGGAAGGGAGAAATAATTTCATGACGGGAGAAGGGGTCCCTGGGATAAAGAGGAGATGAGTCCCAAGAGTGATGAGCACAGGGCAGGCCTTACAAGCATTCTGGTCGTACTCATGCATGCAGGAGATGTCAGGGCACCGCACAAACAAGATGGTGGTGATGGGGATGGTCTGGAAGCCAGCAGGGTCCCACGAGGATGTCAGTGGCACCTGGAAATGGATCCAGGGCTGGCCCAGGGAGATGAGGCCAATGAGCACCAAGCTGCTCAGGTTCAGCACTAGGCTCACCTGGCGGCTGATCTTCTTGGCCTCGTGCAGCAGCCACCAGTTTATGGACAGCAGTGATAGGCGGCTATACTTCTGAGACCTGCAGCAGATTGCCACCACCAGTGTCAGCACTGAATCCAGCCACGCCAGCCCACGTCCACCCTTGAGGCTCTATCCACCCGACGTCTATCCTCCATGCCCTGTATCTCACAGGTCTCACCTTCATGCCATGCCCCACCAGTACCAGCCTTAGGTTTGGCTGAGCCCAGTCACACCTCTGGTTTCTGATATGCCAGCCGTGCTTCTGGTCTCTGACCTTAGACTGCTGCCCCTCCCCTGGAATGCTAACCTGGGACTTGACCTATTGCCTAGGCCCTGTCTCTCACCAGCCAGAGCTGGTCCTGATGGAGTTGCCCAGTGAGAAATTGTGGATGTCATCTGGAGTGCTTTGGTTGAATTGGGAGCTGTGCACACATTCTTTTACATTGTCCTTGGAGTCCCAAAAAGCTGACTTGATGCTTTCGATACTGGCTTCAGGGCTGTGGGTGATTGACGGCGGGACATTGACACTGGACCGAGTTTGGGACACGGAGCTTCTTATACTTAAGCAGGGAGTCTGCGTTGTTGAGTAGTCTTGGCAAGTAACAGATTCTATTTTGGCCAGGGGATGAGACCTTTGTATACTGAGTTGGCGCATTTGGGAAGCTGTTGAATTAGCTCTGGTGCTGAAGTGGGAAGTGCAGGTAATGGATTGTGTGTCTCTGGCATTGGCCCAACGGCCGTAGATAATTTGCAAGGGCTCTTGGGTACTGACCCTACGGCTGCTGAAATATGGAAGAGGCTCTTGGGTACTGACCTTGAAGCTGCTAAAATCTGGAGGAGGCTCTTGGGTACTGACCCTGTAGCTGCTAAAATCTGGAGGAGGCTCTTGGGTACTGACCCTGCGGCCGCTGAAATCTGGAGGCGGCTCTTGGGCACT